CAGCAATGTCCCTATCACAGGCACAGTGTTCAATCCAGCAATGGCCCTATCACAGGCACAGTGTTCAATCCAGCAATGGCCCTATCACAGGCACAGTGTTCAATCCAGCAATGGTCCTATCACAGGCACAGTGTTCCAAATCACGGAGCTACATCTCGCCCTCTTTCACTTTATATTGATTTTTTTCCCCATCTTACATCTTACATCTTACAGAATATTGGGAAACTGTCTAATTTCTGATTTCAAACTGTACATCTCTATCACACAGTACGTCTGTATAACATGGGTCCCAATATCAGACTGTAGTGTCCAAGATGCCACTGACAGACAATGCCGGATGCGGCACACACACTCCTCACACGGCCAATAGCAACTCAGCAGCTTCTGTTACTCAATCCGGGTCACATGGTACAGCAGCAGCACAGGATTATGGGAGGTCTGGGGGTGGAATCTTTTTTCACAATGTCATACGTTTCGTACCGCAGTATATGGAATTTTGATGGTATTTTTCAAAGAAATTCAATTCCCCATGATACAATGTAATTATATGATACGATACAATTCGCCATGATACAATTTCCTATGCAGGGGTGGGAGGTAGTTTTATCATGGGGACCCCCCCAGACTGCGCAATGTTATATAAAATAGCTGGTTTAGTGTCACGTGCACTGCAGGGAGAACGTGGAGAAGTGTCTGAGTGTCAACTGTAAGCAAAATTCGGTGTGTAATTAGGATCCGAATCTCCTGTGAGCAAAATCCGCCCCTGGATCTTGTTGTCCTGTACTGTCTGCCAGAAGGGCCCGGCCTCCATCTTTTAACACTGACGGTGCTTTAAGGGCAGAGTGTTGCCATCTGTGACCTGGACACAGAGTGTAAAACATTTAAGCGGCCAATCATTCATTGGACTTGGTCATGCTTGCCCGACGGAATGAAAAAAGGATTTGTCTGATCTTTGGGTTGGCATGGATCAGTGGGGGGGTCACCTGTGAGCACAGATCAGTGGCTGCCTCGACAGGAGGGCCTCCCTTTATTCCATGACGCCTGAGGCAAGTGGCGGGAGGGGGGGGGGCACAAAGGAGGGGATGGAGGAGCAAAGGAGGGCTGGAAAAGGCCCGTCAAATGGCTGCCTGCTGAAGGAGGTTCAGCCACTGCAGAAGGGACATTCTCAGGCAGGAGACACACGTGGGAACTGGAACGCCAGAGAGGTTACAGGAAATGAGAAGATCAGGGGGCCGGTGAGCTTAGAGAGGGAGCGCTGGTGAAAATGTCACGCCTGGGGAGACAGAACTGGCCCTCCTTCACGGGTTCTGGTACCATATCAGCTCAGTGGTACCTCAGAGCAGTGCTTCTCCACTCAGTCTTCGGAGACCCCCCAGGCTATATTCCCTACACAGCACACTTGAACCGCACAATCAAGCAAGAACACTGCAAACCTGGCTCAGGTGTGCTGGGGGCTGGGAGGGGCAAGTATGGGGACCGTCTGGGGGTCCCTGAGGTTCAAGGGGGTTTCAAGGAATTCCAGGCCCCTTACAAAAAATTTTTAGCCCCCCCGATACACTCTGTCAAAAGGAAGTAGGGTTCCCTTCAGACCCCCTCCAGTCGCAGGGCCTGAGAAAACATCCCCCCCCCAAGTCTGCAGCCCTGCCGAGAAATGGCTTAAGAATCATTGCCTTAGGTTCCCCTCTGGTAGAGGAAACCTTTCCCCGTGAGCCTGTGAGTACAGGAGACATTTTCCACTTTGTGGTGCTCTGGTTTAATCGCTTTGAAATAGACATGGCGTCTCATCGCAGCCCGGCATCACTTCACATCGCCCTTCCTCAGCTCCATATCTCTGTAATCGCATCATAACGAGACCCTACGTTCTACTGCAGAGACCTTCCACTCCGCCAGCAGAGGTTTCTTGGTCTTTAAAATCGGAAGTGGGCATCACAAACACCAGCAAGGCGCTTCCAGCAGCATCAACCAGCTCAACGCCGCCATTATAGCAATGAATCACACAATAAATACACTATAAATGAACAAATTGAAATATTTTAAGTATTGTCTGCAATATTCCATCTCCATCGATCCAGTTCAGTTGCTATATTTTTACCTGTAGGAAAGTATAAATCAATATATGAGATACATCGCATAACCGCACCCCCAGGACGAGGTCTGATCAAGGCTCAGTTCCCTCTGCAAATGGGCCATGGGAATCGGCCGCTTCCCCATCAGAACATACTGATCCCACAAGGGAACAAAGCCACCAAAATGAACTAAACGAGGGGGGGGGTTAAAGTGGGGGTAGCAGATTGCTGAAACGCGAGCAGCCATACTCGGTGATTGAGCCATCCCAGAATAAGCCATCCCAGAGTGGCAGGTGGCAACAGCCTCTGCTCCAGCGAGGCTCTGGGGTCGATTCGCTGAAACTGAGAAGCAGCAATATGAGCGAAATCGCCTGGGGGGTCAGAGGGTGGTCCTCTCCTCATCTTTTTTCCTTGTCACCGGGGGGGGGGGGGGGGTGGGGGTTGTAGGCTCGATTCTCTGTGCAATTCCGTGACTAATAGTGGATTATGTTTGTGATAAAAGCTTGCTAAACAGACTACATGCAGCTCTGTGTGGTCACGGTGCACTGGGTTCACGCACAATTACAGCACAAAACACACAAACTGCTTCTGGTTGCAATTTCCTTTGTGATTAAAAAAGTCTGAAATCCATCTATGTAGTTATGCATGTACAGTATCCCTCATCCATCCATCCATCCATCCATCAATCTTCACCAGCGTTACCCACTGAGACCACAGAAGTCATGAGTAACACACAGACTATCACAAGAGAAGCCAGCAGGCAGGTGGTGAGTGTGGCGTCTCTCTCAGGGGTCAGGACCCGCCCCTGAAGGAATCTGACCAATGGGAGGTCTGGAGGGAAACCTCAGGGGTGTCGAAATGCAGTCTAATGCAGAGATACGCTGGGGGGAGGAGGGGGATTGCCAGTCAAGCTGGCGTAACCCACCAGAGACCACCAGCGGGCGAAGTACTAGGAGACCGGGAGCAGAAAGAAAGGATTTAGCGAGAGTAGCGGAATGTGAAGGGCTCTCTGAGACTGTATTATCCATCCTAAGGATATTTTACAGCTAATCCAACATTTTCTTTTGTCAAGATCTCCTATTCTCCTCCTCCTTTAGTCCACCCCCCACTCTGTGGCATTAC